AGGATCCAGCATCCAGACCTGGAGAGGATCCAGCATCCAGACCTGGAAAGGATCCAGCATCCAGACCTGGAGAGGATCCAGCATCCAGACCTGGGCCTCGGGGTTTTAGGGACTTCGTCCCCGCCGTCCAGACAGGCGTGGAGTCGGGACAACCCGGGCTTTGAGCTCGAGGAGGAGATCATGGAAGCGGACTGGCCTTCAGCGAGTCCCGTGAGGAGGTCTGTGTCCGCGGCCTCCAGCTGCAGCAGCGGCCGGGAGAGCCGCTCCAACCGCGGCCAGGTGCTCCGAGGAGGACCGCTGCCCACCCGGAGCCTGAACGCCTCACAGCAGAACGGACATGAGCGCCTGAGCTGCATGAAGCAGATCCTGCAAAAGATCAGAAGTGAGTATCCTGCACGTTGTTGGGGCCTGTCCAGAAAGGCAGCTCGATTATTATTATTATTATTATCCACCTGACAAGGGTAAGGGCTTATTTTTATTTATTCCTTCAACCTTTATTTAAACAGGTTAGTCCCATTGAGCCTCGGGACTCTTTTACAACAGAGACCTGATTTCTTTAACAAAGAGTGACGACAACAATAGACAGTCACAAAAAAGGCATACAAATAAAAAAAAAACAATATTTTTAAACAAAACAACCCAAAGGACAGTCAAAAGGAAAAGTAGCGAACAGAAAGAAAAAGACAGCTGGATTATAAGGCGGTGTAGAAAACTAAAAACAGGAACATGTCTGCATTGGTTTTTCAGGAACTTAGATGTTTAACTCACTAAGAGGTCAAGGTCGAAAGCTTCAGATCTTTTTGCAAGATATTCAGATATATATTTATTGGGGACTGCCAAATATAAGGCAGCACCTATTATTATCCACCTGACAAGGGTTTTGTAACTTTATTTAATGCTATAAAGTATATAGTCCCATGAAGGCTCTCTTCCCCTCTTGTGCGCTGGTTTCCCGGGCGGCGGCAGACCCCCCGCTCCCCCCCCACCAGGCCACCTCCTGATCCCTGTGCTGTGTGGGTCATGCCGGTGAAGGATGGTCCTATGCATGTGCGGGATCTTCCCATCTTCCTCCCGCGACTCGAAAGGGATAGCACAGTGGCTCAGTTTGGGAAACTGATGCCAAAGCCCGAGGGGCTGGCCGCTTGGTGCAGGCCGCTTGGTGCAGGCCGCTTGGTGCAGGCCGCTTGGTGCAGGCCGCTTGGTGCAGGCCGGGAGCGAGGCCTCTCGGGACGGGCCCGCATGTGTTCCTGTGCTATGTGGGTTTTCTCCGGGCACTCCGGTTTCCCCCCACAACTAACATGCACCACCAACCGAGTCCCTTGGTGGTGCGGAGCGTTGGGTGAAGGTTAAAAGTACTCGTCCCAGAGTATGGGGGCAGCTGCGACCGTTCATACAGTATAGTAGTGCGCTGGTGCGTTCGATTGGTTGGCCACTGTGGATGATGGTGATGGGTGCACGAACAGCACACCTAGTCAACGGGAGACATTAAAAGACCCGAAATGGGGTCCCCCGGCACCTACTTTGGTGGCTCTGTCGGGGATCTCTGAGTTGGACAGATTGGTATCGAAGGGCCGCATTTAATGGGGACTGCCAAGTATATAGTTCCTTTTCCACAGCTCCTCTTCAGCACGATTCAGCTCTGAACGGTTCCAAGGCTTTTTCCACTAGCAATTTTTCAGTCCCTTCTTCTCTGGGGTACCAAGCGAGCCGAGCTGGCACCAGAACTCGACGTCAGAACACTGTCAGTCACTGATTGGTCGGGGGGCGGAGTCATTGGTTGCTTGACAAACTTTTCACAACAACCCAATCCGCCATTTGCAATTACTCGAACTCGGAGTAGCGGCTGGACCTATTTTTAAGATTTTAAAAACAATAATGACAACACACAAGGCCGGGGTTCGGGTCCAGGCCCCGGCAGACTGGGATGGGTCTGGGATGGAGGGTGGAAACTGATTTTTAAAAACATTTTATGTATAAAATATAATGTATTCTTTGTTTTTCAGTGAAGATTAAAAAAAATAAACGGTGCCAGCTTTATCATGAAATCCTGTTTTCACTTTAATTACTTTATTAAATAATCTGTTAGTTAATAATCGGTTAACTTCCAGGTTAACCCTTTATTGTCCACTAACTTTATGACCATTCATGACCCTTAGGGAAAAACCAACCTCCTTATTTAACTGCATAAAATACTGTTTTATTTTATTCACAAAATAAAACAACTAGTCAGTCTTTAAGAGAGAGTTAACTCGGCCTGAAAACATCACATTTAAATGATTTGTTATTTTAACTCTTCAGGCCATTATTTATTGAATTATGATTTTATTTGTTAACCTTTAATTTAACCAGGCAAATCCCATTAAGATCACAGATCTCTTTTACAAGGGAGGCCTGGACCTGAAGGCAGCCCAACATGCATGTTGCTGTTTATGGATTTTTATTTCCATCCATCCATCCGTCCGTCCATCCATCCGTCCGTCCGTCCATCCATCCATCCATCCATCCATCCATCCATCCATCCATCCATCCATCTTAACAGGGTACTGCTGCCACCAGCTGGTAAGGCGAGTTAGATTCTGAAACGCCCTCTAGAACCGGTACTGAAGTGTGTGTGTATTTGCAACATGTACCGAGTTGAACTGTTCCGAGCCGTCCCTGTGGAAAAGGGGCATTAGTTCTCTGCATTTGACCCATCACACGTGAGGTACACCCAGGTGGAGCAGCGGGCGGCTATGTTGACGCCCAGGGAGCAGTGAGGGAATAGGTGTCTTGCTCAAGGACACCACGTCATGCAGGCACATGAGGGAGTCGACTTTCTGGTCCTGAGTCAGCTGTTCTACCTGCTTCGAATCAAAGAAGAATGTCTTGTTGAATGAACAAGAACGAAACTGGTCCAGATAACATGATTTAACCTTTTTTGTTATGACCTGGAGGGTTGAGCCTACAAACCTTTTGAATCTTGTTGAGTGGTTGCTTGGTTTTGTTTTTCCAGTCTTGTGGGGCACAGACCTGATGGAGGATAGCGACAACAGCCGAGAACAGTACCTCTGGAACGTTTTGAGGGAGATGCTGACATACATCGCGTTCCTTGTTACCATTTGTGTCTGTAAGTAGTAAACACGCAAACATCTAGTAGAATCCACAGTTTCTCGAGCGTGCTCTTGTACAACGTCTTTGTGTCGTCAACCTCAAAACTCACAGATAAACTTGACTGTAGAACGATTTATGCAACGGTATCTTTATGCTGTGAACGTTGAGATTATTCAGATAATTGGTGAATTGCTTTAATTAAATCTGTACTAGTTTGATGCTACAGACTAATTTAAATGATGTATTCTTTTATTTAATGAAAGTGTGAAACAACAAATTAGTAAATGAACTGTGATCAGGTTGACCAAACTAAATCATATGTTTAAAAAAGTTAAGTCAAGTCTTCTGGCCAGATTCTTTTTGTTTAAACGTTTCGTCTTTAATCCAAAGGACTTCTTCAGTCTGAGGAGCTGCAACAAACTCAGTCTTATAAACAGCGCCTTCTCATGGTGGATCAACCAGTTCGTTGTTGACATCCTGAACCAGCTGTTCACATGATCAAGGAGGACCATCAGCCTAACGACTGATCGTTAGTGTCCTGATGGCCACTTGTTATTCACAGAGGACTGAGTGATTCTAGCAACAACAGCATTGTAAGAGGGGGACAGTTGGACACGGAGGCTCCGCCCCTGTTTAATGATGGACAGTTTCTCTTGTCCCCCTCCTACAATGCTGTTATTGCTAGCATCACT